TGATTTGATTGGTAATAAACTAATTTCCCCAGGTCGAGTCTGTTTTGCCCGTGACGGGAATTGCTGAGTGACCTCTCCCCCTCCTTATCTCGACCCACGAGCCTTTCGTCATATTTTCTCTCCCCTGTCCAGCTGAGGAGGGGAGCGACAGAGCGGCTTTGGTGGGCACCTGGCCTCCAGCCAGGGTCAACCCACCACAGATACCCTCAGAGACAACCTTGAAGAGCCAGAGGCTGGCATCGTAGGTGCAGCTGCAGCTCCCCGACCCCTTGCTTATCACGTTCTGAAGGAATGCTTTTCTCATGGCACTCATCTTCGCACTTCCCTGAAAAGAAGCTCTTTGGCAACTACTACTTTTTAGATGACCTGCTGGAGGAAAAAATTGCATTTTCTCAGCTCGAAAAGGACCTGTTGTTTTCAAAATCTGCCTACCGCTTGGTTCTCCGTGATGATACACATTTCTGTGTACCCTGCGCTTCAACATTTTGTTGGGGGGCAACCACAAGCGTCCTTCAGAAATAACTGCCTGCGGGCTCGTCCACCTCCCATCAAGCGTCTTCGTTAAAGGACACCTCTGTCTTTGGCACTGGTCTGGCTTTTCAGGGGATCTCGCCTCCTTTGGTCTCCGATTGCAGAGAGGAGCTGTGGACCAGGGGAGCTATGATGGCCATGGGGAACGCCAGGAGTGCTGGGGCTGGAGGCGGTGGCCACGGTTTCTTACACCAGGAGAACCCGAGCCTTCCTCACCCTTGGGACTTCTCAGGAGCACAGTGAACCCGGGGCTCCTTCCCTTGCCCCAGCCCTCGGATTCCACACCATTCCATGAAAATCCTTGACTCCGAAGGACAAGTTTTCTACCCACCCCGCTCGAGGATCCCGGCACCCTGAGAAGAACCTGGCGTCCCCGGGGGACAGGCTGGTTGGTGGTGGCTCGCCGGCATCAACCCCTGCCTCGCCGGGCTTCGGCCTCCGGCTGGGGGGAGGCCGGGCCCGGCCCTGGGGCAGCCCCCGCCCCGCTCCTCCCCGTCCCGCTCTTGTTCTGA